TATAGTGGTGCAATGCCCAAGGGCACATCTCCAAGGCCCACGATGTGAGTGTGGAAGACAGGGAGATGGACCAGTCGATGGACAGGCAGGAGGATGGATATTTTCCAGGAAAATGGTGAGAGATGGAAAGAGCCCGTGGGGGTGCAGAGGAAGCCTTCTCTCTGTATTCACCCTACATTCAGCCAAGCTCTCCCACTCATCAGGTGACTTCTTTTCTGTTTCCACTCTGGAAAATGCTACAGGCCTGTTCAGGCCGGGCCTGCCTGAGTCTGCCCTGGCCTCTGGAATCCAGCCCCTAGCAGATAGCCTTGACCTTTCCTCTTGGCCTGCTGCCTTTTCCATGACTGAGAATAGGAAGTGACATGCTCCATGTTAGAGCTCAGAGCCCGCTCACAAGTCCCTTGAGAAATAAAGACAAAATGGGGCACTGTTTGCTGGACAATGGGATTTTCTTACAAAGTGTACTCCCTGGGCCTTTGTCAGGAGGACTTCCTTTAAGGGCAATAAGGGCTGAGGACAACCTCCGGGCCATGGGCTGAGGGCAGGGCTGACTGCTGGGAGGAGCCTGGGGACTGGAGGTGGAGCTGCACATGTAAGGGGATCCTGTGGGTTGGTTCTGCCTGCGACAGTGGACTAAGGTAGAGAAGCAGAGGCTGGAGCAATGGCTGGGTTTGAGCTAGGATTAGGAGAGAGGCTGGAGGCTGGGTTAGAAGGTTAAGCCTAGGACTGGGGTGAGGCTTGGGGGCTGGTCCCAGGAGGGCTTGTTGCACACTGCTCAGAAACCCACATGTTAGATACAGGCAACCTGGGTTCAAATTCTGTGTCTTCCCTGACTATCTGGGTAGTGTGCGCAGGCTCCCTCCTTCATCCTTCACTCCACTTTCATTTCTCTCCCTAGTTCATGCCACAGTCTGCTCCCCTTCAGTGTGCGTCCTCCTTATCTGCTCTCGTTCTTTGTCCGTCCATACCCTCACCAGCTTTGAGTTACTGTGTCGCCTACTTATTTATACCATTTATTTTTATCATCTGTCTTCTCTAGCTAGGATGTTTGCTTCACGAAGATGATCTTGTTTCCTTCACCTGGGTCTCCAGCTCCTAGAACAGTGTCTGGCACACACTAGGCACACAGTAAATCTTTGTTGAGTCCACAAAGTAGCTAAGCCTGTCTTAGCAGAGAGTTTCCTCATTTGGAAGGTGATGATGTCAGGCTGCTGCCACCTTCCTATTGTGAAGAGGAGTAAATGAGATCTTCCTGTAAAAAGCCTCGCACCTGGCTGACAGGCAGGAAGGAGGCACCTAGCAAATGACAGCTCACTTGTGGTTCTGCTTCCTCACCTGCAATGTGAGGGGAAAAGTCCCCGATCTGCAGCATTACTCTGAGGATTCCATGGCTTACTATGTACAGAGTCAGCGTTCAGTAAAGTGGGTTCACTTTCTAAGTCTCTTCCATCCCAGTCCTGTGGGATCATTTTCTTGTTGAGTTGAAGTTGGGGCTACCTGGGAAGTCAAATGACTAAGCTTGGGTTAAGCCTGGCTTTGAGATAAAATGATTCCCCTAGGAACCATTTTGACCTTTTTCCAAGGTCAAAATGAACACATTTCCAGTCCCCCTTGCCTGAAATATCTGCCTGGATTTCGGGCAGTCTTGTCCCAGCCCCCTTGTCAGTGCTGCTTCCTCACTGCTTCTTGGGAATAGGACTTCAAGTCTTGTTGCCTCTGTCCCTCATCCCTGCCCCCTCCTGTCCTGTGCTCCTGGGCTACTGGCGTCTGCCTCTAATGCCCTGGAAACCTCAGGTCGGGTTTGAGGCAGGGAGCTCTCAGTGTGTGCTTAGTGGATATGGGATACATGAATGAGTAGATAAGTAGTCTAGACAGAATCAGCAGAACTGGCTTCCAGTTCCAGCTCTGACTCTGACCTTTAAGTAACGAATATCTGGCCTTCAGTTTCCTCAGCTCTATTGGAAATAAATGAACACCTGCCTTGTCCACCTTACCAAACTGGTGTGGGAATTCAAGGTGACCACTGGGCTTAGAGGGCAAGTGGTTTGTTTGCCTATTTTTCTTTTTTCAATTGGGAAATGGTACCCCAGGGTACCATTAGTGGGTACATCTAAGGTACCCACTTAGATGGAGAGAAATCTGACGTGTGAGCTGCTTTCTGCTAGGTGAGTTGGCCTGGAACCCTGGAGTCTGGGCTGTCTTTAGAGATCATCCACTCCAGCCACCCACAGGGAATCTGTGCCCTGACAGGGAAAGTGACCTGCTCAATGCACCAGGGCAGAGATGGAAAGAAGACTTGGTCTCAAAGTTTGAAGTCCAGGCTTCCTTCTTGCTGTGTGGACAGTGTCAGAAGTGGCACTGGGAGGCACTGATAACCATGTCTCAGTTCAATCCTTTTTCATTTTTTAGTGCTGTGGATGGAGCCCAAGGCCTCAGGCATGCTAGGCAAGTACTCTACCACTGAGCCACACCCCCAGCCCTCAGTTGAGGGACAGAGCCGGAGTCAGGGCAAGATGGTGTGAGGGAGGAAGGTGGCAGAGCTGTCCAAGCAGTGGTCCCTCTTGCTGGTAACTGATCCCCAGATTTCAAAGGTAGATGTACTTGGTGGGAGTGTTGGGTCTGGAGACCTAAGGCAGATGAGGGAGTATCCCGTCCCCCATGGAGGGCACTGTGACTCCTGCACCCTGAGGAGGAAGGAGTTGTAAACCTGCATTCCTGCACCCTGAGGAGTTGTAAATCTGCATTTCTGCATCCTGAAGAGGAGGTACTGGGTCTGATAGATCTGCCACAGGGCTGATGAGCAAAATGCTCTCAAGACTTTCCCCTCCCCCAATAAGGGCAAACAAACCATTCATCTAAGAAAGCCCGAGAATCCACAGCCAATGAAAAGAGCCCTCCTAACCCAGAGTTAAAACGCCCATAAAAGCCCCAGCCTTCACCTGAGCAGCGAGCTACCGGTTCCACTGCACTGTCCTAGCTGTAGCCTTTCCTTTCTCTCCAATAAATCCTACTTTGTATACCAGCTTTGGCTTATAAGTCAATCAGCTGCCACATGAGCCAGTTCCCTGGCCTGTGAAGGCAAGGACCCTCGACACCGGCCCACAACAACACTTCAAACGGGCATGTAACAGGAGCACACCACTGAGATTCACAGTCCTAGTCTGCCATGGGGCCCAAGAGGAAGTGCCATCCCCCTAGGTTCAGGGAGATCAGAAGCCAGGGGCAGGGGCTTGGGGGGAATGATAAGTGGATGGGGTGTCTCCAATTGCGTTCAACTCAGTCCCCAAGCCTCCATCGGGTTGAGAAGGAAGACTTTTGGTGCCTGGAAATGTTCCCTGACTCTCAGTCTTCCGAAACCTTGAAACCTTTCGTTGGCATTAATGAGTGATTACTGAACCTTCCCTTGCCCCTCATGTCTGGGCTTATCACTGTCCTGTCACTCCCAGCTTCTAAGCTTCATTCATTCACCGCCCCGGTGACTTTGCCATGATCATGTTAACCCACGAAATACGTAAACAAGTAAAGTAGTACTTACTCGGTACTTGGACTCACTTTCTAAAAACATAAACTTATTTCTAAAGGGAAATTTTATAGCACCTCTGTAAATAAACAGTATCAATTATAAAAATACAAGAAGAAATAAAAATAAACCTAGACATTCTTGGGTTTTGGCACCAGGCCCCAGTCCTGGGTCCAAATTTAAAGATGAATTGTGCTCTCTCTGGGCCTCAGTCTTCTGCTCTGGATAATGAACTTGGGAGATAACATATACAAGATGCCTGGCCTTGCACCTGAAATGCAGTAGGTGAGGGAGAGAGTTCTGGGCTGCAATTGGTTTTGTGGGCATTGGTGCCTTCCCTCTGCTCTGGCCTCAGTCCCCTCCTTATGACCTTCAGTAAAAGGTAGCTGAAGCAACAGGGAAGCAACCGGAAGGCTTAGATGCTGAGGAAGGCAGGACTCAGGGGACTTGTGGTTCTGGCCTTCACACTACTGGGTGGCTGTTGTTACAGTCACACATTGTTCCAGGCAGCCATGAGGCCCACAAGGAGACCCCCTTCTTAGGAGGCAGTGAGCTCTTTGTTACAGGAGGCATTCAAACAGAGCTGAATGGGGGAGGTGGGCGACTTCTTGGCAGAAAATTGACAGAGAATTCAAACTCAGTCTGGTTCTCAGAGGAAAGGGTTCAGGGAAAGGGGGCAGTGGACCCTGGGAAGCCAGGACAGACCTGCAGCACCCCGCGCCCCTCCCCCCACTTATCGGCGAATTTAGCTTCCTTTGTGCACTTTTCAAACACTGTCTCCTATCCAGCCGCGCACCAGGAGGCAAAGGAAGTCAGGGGAGAGGGCGTCTGTCTGTTAAAGGGGACAAGTGACTTGGCCAAGGTCACGAGAGTTTGAGCCTGGGCTGTCTGGCTCCACTGCCCGGGAAGTAGTCTGCCCTTGCTCTTGTCCCCGGGAGGCAAGTCCCGGACCCAATCCCGACACATCCCTCTCTAAGGAGAGGAGGGTAGTGAAGGCCCTTGTGTGTGTGTTGGGGGGGGGCGGGGTCCTCCCTCTGCTTCCTTGGCCCTAGCCAACGGCACGAAAGGACGACAGGAAAGTCCGGAGGGGGAAAAAGGACATTCAGACGCACGTGGACAGAGACAGAGAGAGACACACACACACAGACCCAAAGAAAGCCACATAGGTAAACAGAGTCAGACGCTCAGGGAAAGGTGCAGACAAGAAGCTGGCCAGGGCAAAGACACCCACAAAGAGACCAAGGACAAAGACGAACAGCAGCCAGCGGGGCCGAGACCAGGATCGGTGCCCGAGCTCGCTGAGAGGGCCGGGCGGGACCGCAGGCCCGGGACACCCCGCTGCCCCAGCCCCGCGGGCCCAGTGTCCCGCTCCCCGGCAGGGGGCGCCCTGGCCGCGCCGCGCCACCAGCCGGCGGGGCTCTGGGCTCAGGCCGGGGGCGGGGCGGGCCGGGGGCGGGGGCGGGGAGGCGGCCGGTCGCTGGGGCCCCGGGCCGCCTTTATAAACCGGCGGGGGAGGCGGCCGGGCCAACGTCGCGCTCCCGCCACTCGGCGCCCTGGATCCCAGCTCGCCGGTCCCACGCCGCTTGTGCCCGGACAGATCTTCACCACGAGTTCTGCGCAGGTAAGGACTGGACCCCCGGCTGCCCGAGAACCCCTCCTTCATGGTCGATCCGTGCATCTTCCGCTGGCCCCGGGGTGGCGGCGATGTCGGAGACAAATGGCAGGGCAGGAATCCTGCCCCGCCACCCAGCGCACGCACGCACGCCGCCCGCGGAGGCCCACGCGGGATCCCAGCCACTTGTCCCTCTCCGTCCCGCGCGCGCATCCTGGCGGGTGCTCCGAGCAGGGCTGGAGGCTGGACGTGGCGCCCGCGGAGCCGGCTTGCTAATGGACCTCACTCGCGACCACGCTGCCGTCCCGGGGTCTCCTTTCTCTGGGGCCGCTGCCCGGGATCCCATCCTCAGGCTAGACACCTGCTCCTGCTTCCCCAAGACTGAGCAGCACCCCATGGTGTCCCCTCCGTCCCCAGCCTGTGACCAGCGCCCTCCCCGGCCCCCCAGCCTGGTCGCGTCCAAGTCTCCGCAGCTTCAGGTGAGGGGCTGCTGTCTAAAGTAGTTGGGGCTGGAGCTGGGAGGGAGGTGCTGGGATTCCTAGAGGAGAAAGGGGGAGACCTCGTGTTGGTGTATGTTTGGGGCTGGGGGCGGCACCGCAGCTGCTGGGCAAAGCTTTGGAGCCCGGGAAGCCCAGGAGCCTGCGACTTGTGTTCGTCGGTGATTTGGGGGGGTGGGAGGGAGCAGGAGGGCTGATGTCCCGCGCAGCCTTAGTAAGAAAGGGTTAAAAGGCCTGGTCACAGTGGAAGGGCGGGAGGCAGCTGAAAGCCTTACCCAACATTGTCCCTTCTGATCCTTTCAACCCAGAGTGGGGCCGGAGGAGGAGGCTTTTACAAAGACTCTTGCAGTGTGTGCATCCTTGAGATTAAAAGAGGGGATGACTGACTCTCAGGCCAGAAAGGACCTTTGGGTCCTGGGAAAACATCAGAGACCCCCTCAGGTAGGCCAAGCTTCCCAGGAGACCAGGATTGGCTCCCCACATCAGTGAAGATGGCAGGAACTGTTCACCAAATGCCTACTGTGTGCAGGGCCTGCACCAACACCCAGCATCTCATCTTACAAATGGGGAAACTGAGCTTTAGAGAATTTAAGCAAGTGGCAGGATCAGAATTTGAACCCTGACTCCAAACCCTGCAACCTTAGCCTCGTATTGCCATCACTGGCCTAGAGATGAGGCATTATCTAGGTATTCCCCTGCAGGCCCTTCCTGGCACAGACCTGCCTTCCAAATATTGCCCTTCTCATGGGGCTTTTGCCCTGCCCACACACCCCACTCCCTGCAAGGGAGCTGAAGTTCTCTTTTTCTCTTCCTGAGCTGAAGTTTTCTGAATTCCCTGGACACAGCTTCTCAAAGTCCCCCTGGTGGAGTGGGACAGAGCTCATGTCTCTGAATCTGTGGCCCCATCTGTAAAAAAGGACTATGTGTCTCTCCTGGGACTGCAGTGAGCAATAAAACTGAATGGAGGCCAGGACAAAACATTGTCCTCAATCCTCAAATGCTTATCAGCCATCCTCTTTGCCCTAGGTTCTGTTCTAGGTGCTGAGAGTAGGGCAATAAATTAAACAGACAAAATCCACCTTCATGGAACAGACATTGATAGAGCAAAATTTTTTCAGACTTTGAAAATTGAGTGTCAGAGTTGACATCGTAAAACTGAAATGAAGCAATTCACAAAGAAAAGGTCGAGGTGCATTACCATATGTAGAACTGATCTCCCAGCATTGGTCCTCACTAATAAAGAAGGCAACCTCGCTGTGTGACCAGAGACCAACCCTGTTCCCTCTCTGTGCCTCAGTCTCCTCTCTGGTGGTGAGGTCTCCATATAATTAATGCTTACAAAGTGTTTAATCAGTGACCATGCTTAAGAGAATAGTGACTATCCCCAGCTCCAATCTCAGCAGAAACTGTAATGTCGAGACTGTGCAGGGTATGTCACTGCCTCAGAACTCTGTGACCCTTCCACCCACCTGCCCTGGCCCTGCCCACTCTCTGGTAGACCATGCGGTGGGGCAGCATGCCGCCCTAATAGCTCAAACTCAGATGCCCAGTCTGGGCCAGGAGCTCAAAGTTCCCAGCTAGAAACAACCCAGAAGGTGTCTGCAGTACCTTCTCCCTGTGACCAGGCGCAGGACAAAGCTCCACCCTGTTCTAGCCTGTGACGTCTATGTAACGGACTCTGCAGACTAGATGTGATCGCCCAAGAAACTTCTTAGAGAGGCAGCCAGTTGCCCTAGGACACACAGAGACTACCTGGGCAGCGGGGACTGGAGTGGGGATCTTGAATTCCAAATCTGGCAATGGTCGTGTGGTACCCATCCAGAGTTCTGGGATCCAGAGGCAGAGCTTGGAGTGGTCCGACTTGAAATCAGTCCGACTGGGCTTATTAATATAAAACCCAGAGCTCCAAGAGGACATCGCAGGAAGCATGAGCGAGCTGGGCTGAGAACAGCACTTAGAATTCTCCACATGGCCACAGGAATGCTGACTCAGCGCCCCAGCACGACCGTCCACAGGCCAGGGCTGGGTTTTGTGGTATGTGTGTTTTTATTATTTTTTTTTTTTTCCTGGAGCTGTCCTAACTTTTATAATACAGTTGGTGCAGTAGATTGGAGATTCACTCCCAGCACTGCTGTGTGACCCTGGGACAAGTCATTTTCCTTCTTGGAGCCTCAGTTTTCTCATCTGTGATGTGGGATAGTATGTACTTTGTAGGATTGCTGAGAAGGGCTAGCAAGATGGTCTCTCAGCTTTGAACTTTGAGCTTCCTGAGAAGTTAACGGTCCCTGTGAGACAGTTTCCATAGTCCAGAGGACCAGAGTGAAGTCTCTGCCTAGGATACAGAAGCCTCACGGCAGGAAGCATACTGGCCTAATGTTAGAAAATTGGTTTCAATACCCAGCTGTGTGACCCAAGGCAAGTGACTTAGTCTCTCTGAGCATCACCTCATAGTGAGTCCTCAGCATCACTGTATGGTGCTCAGTGTCCATAGAATATTCCAGAAGGTTCTCCATCTTTCTCTGCCTTCCCATACCATCCCCCAACATTTCGTAATTGCTCCCAGAAAAACTCCATGCTTAAAGTTTTCCATGCCTAAGCCCTCAGCCTTACTGTGGCATGAAATCAATTGTTTGCATTTAATTTGACTTCTCAAATGAAGGGGTAAAATTTGAGATGAGGGTAGGGATGGAGGGAGAAGATGAGGAAGAAGTTAAACCAGATGTGTTTTTGTTTAACTGTAGGATGGTGGTTAGACTGTCCCCAGTATTACTATGGCTCTCAATTCCAGTAAGCAAGAGTTGGGTTTCAGTAAAAATTGCAGTGTTCTTTTCTGGCTGGTGTGGACTTGCTCTTTCGTTATTATTATTATTACTATTTTATATCATTTTCAGGCCACAGAGTGCTGGCTGGTGAGGAGACCACATAGATGTCTAGAATTTCAGGGCTGGCTCTGTCTGCTGGCATCTTTGCAGAGGAGGGAGACTGAGGCCCAGAGAGGGGAAGGGGCTTGCCTAGGAGCACACAGCCATGGCGGGGCAGTCTCTATGACCCTTCCAAGCTGACACCCTCCTTAATTTGGTGTGTTTCATTTCCACAGTATGGCCTTAGTTTACCTGTTTTTTGAAAAGAAATAACTGTTCAAAGGATGTAGATGGTGTCAGTGGTAGAAAAAGATCTAAGCTCAGGAGAGCAGAGCTTAGGTCAGCTTTAATGACTTTTGATACATTTACCATCAGTGTGACTCTGGACAAGTCACTTCCTCTCTGGGTCTCAGATTCCTCAACCAAGATATCTGAAGAGCAAGAGGGAGAATGACATTTCCCTAAGACGTGGCCTGGGACCGCAGGTCTTTATGGTATACCTTGTGCTACGTCAGGCTGGCTCAGTCACAAACTGCCCTCCCAAAGCAACAAGGCTTGGGGCAGTGGATTGTTGGCTCCTACAGTGAGTTAAAAACTTCAGTTTAGTTGCTGGTATTGTTAGACCAGTCGGTTTCATTTTACATAAAAACAGGGGTTTCTGGCTTCTCTTGAAAGAATACGTGGCTTTGTGAGGCTGAGTCCCTGCCTGGCCGCAATGGCCAGAGCTAAGTGGCAGCCATTCCAGCCACTTCAACCATAGTCCTCACCGCACCCCAGTCCCTCACACAGCCCTCTTGGGTCACTGAGTCTGCCTGCCCACCTTAGAGTTTGCAGTTTCTGGGCTGATGCTGGGAAGGCCCACTATGGTGGGCTCAGATCTTATTTGGGCCAGCCTGCTGGGGGTCAGCTTAGGAACATAGGCACCAGCTCCTCTTTGGTGGCCTGGCAGCATCTTTTCCTGTTGTGGTGGTCTCCAGGAAGAGTCTGAAGGTTCTGGAGGCTTGGAGGTGACAGGGCATGCCTGCCAACATTCAACAAGCTGGGCCTGCTCAGCTGTCCCCCTTTGGTGACAAACAGCCCTGGGTGTCTTATTCTAAAGATTGCCCCACCCCCTCAGGGACAGATCTGCCTTGTCATCTGCCATCTCACCTGATCCTCCAATGGCCAGTGCATTGGTGTAGACGCACTTCACACAGAGGACATGTGACCTTGCCATCTGAGCCCATTGTTCTAGCTCCAAGGCCAGTAATGGCAAGAAGGAGCCATGGTGGCTATGAGTGAGTGTATCTCAGAATCACCAAGTCAGAACTGGAGGACAGCGGGAGTGACCATGAAATCTGGCGGTGAAATTCAGGGCTCTGGAGACTGCTGGCAGGATGTGAGATTCTAGAAGTTCTCTGCTAGTAAAATGCCTTGGGCAGCACAGATGATTTGGACAGCAACCACAGGTTCTCCTGGCCCTTGCTCCTGCAGAGGAGGTGCCCTGTATGGAAGGAGTAACACTGGCTTCCAGGCATATGTGCTCACGTACTCCACCCTCTGCTGTTTTACTGTCAGGAGATCCAGGCTCAGGGAGCCTGTGTCTCAGGTGCTTCTGTCCCCTGCCCTGACCCAGGGAAGGAAGGAGAGGATGGCTGGAAGGTGATTGTTT